TCTTATCGGCCACACTCGTCTTACTCATGGGTATCTGTTAGCCACATTCTATTGGACTGTCCACCCTATCAATGAGCACGCAGAATTTACCTCCAACGTCGTCTCCGCTCTGCTGCCCTTTCTTCTTTACCTTCCCTTCTTGCTGATGGACCCTCCTTTAATCCAGACTCTCTCATTGACTTTTTGACAGTGACTGATTTACTACACAAACTCTGATAATGATGCCTCTAGCACTCTCCTCTGTCCTTTCTACCTTAGTCTCTTGCTTCCCTCTACCCCCTGCACTATCCACTGCTTCGCTGCACTCCATACCCTAATAATCATCCTTCTCTCTCTCTTGCCACCCATTTCCCCTGCATCCTTCCCTGCCCTGCAGCACTGTGTAACTTTTGCAGTTTAGCACTTCTTTTGATTATAATAATAATAATAATATTTATTTATCGTATATTCGTATTCAACTTAAAATATTTTCAACTTACAATGGGCTCATTGGAACGTAACTCCATTGTAAGTTGAGGAGCACCTGTACACGTTAGAGTTGTAGTGTAGTGTGCATGCAGCCTCTAATTAGTGCCTCTTGCTTCCAAACTCATGTGTTGCTTTAATTAAAATGGCAAAGTAACAATTTATCCTCTTATTGTATAGGACATTAGTAACCAGCTAAAATGTGTATATTGTGTATGTGACATAATTTGTATAGTTTTCTTCACAGTATATTGTTATTGATCTATAATTTGTCTTCCAGGTGTTACTTAGGGTGTGATGCTACTTACAAGAGTAATATTACTTACAGGAGTAATATTACTTACAGGAGTAATATTACATAGTACAGGAGAAATATTACATACAGGAGTAATATTACTTATAGGAGTAATATTACTTACAGAAGTAATATTACTTGCAGGAGTAATATTACTTACAAAAGTAATACAGTGGACCCTCGGTTTTCACGTTTAATCCATTCCAGAGCCATCGGCCAAAACTGAAATTGGCCAAAACCGAAACCATTTTCCCCATAAAAAATAATGTAAATGGAATTAATCCGTTCCGGAGACCCAGAAGTATCAACAAAAATTTTTTTTTTTACCTTAAAGATAGTTACATGCACAAAAGAATGAACATTAAACATGACACTTACCTTTAGTGAAGGCTGTTGTTGCTGGAAGGAAGACAGGGAGGAAGGGAGAGGGAAGAAAGGTTATTGTTTGGAAGGGGAATCCCCTCCATAAGGACTCTAGGTACCAAGTTCTTATCAGGGGTCACTTTCCTCCTTTGTTTTTAACTGTCACTAGGACCAGCTTGAGAGTCGCTGGACCCCTGTTGCATAAAATAACTGTCCAGATAGGTCTGTTTCTGGCATCTCTTTAAGATTTGCTAAAATGGGACATGGCATTGTCATTGCAAAAGTCACCAGCACGGATCAACCAAATCTTTCAGTGGGCTGCAGAAAACAATATGAAGTTCAACGATGAGAAATTTCAATTACTCAGATATGGTAAACACGAGGAAATTAAATCTTCATCAGAGTACAAAACAAATTCTGGCCACAAAATAGAGCGTAACACCAACGTCAAAGACCTGGGAGTGATCATGTCGGAGGATCTCACCTTCAAGGACCATAACATTGTATCAATCGCATCTGCTAGAAAAATGACAGGATGGATAATGAGAACCTTCAAAACTAGGGATGCCAAGCCCATGATGACACTCTTCAGGTCACTTGTTCTATCTAGGCTGGAATATTGCTGCACATTAACAGCACCTTTCAAGGCAGGTGAAATTGCTGACCTAGAAAATGTACAGAGAACCTTCACGGCGCGCATAACGGAGATAAAACACCTCAATTACTGGGAGCGCTTGAGGTTCCTGAACCTGTATTCCCTGGAACACAGGCGGGAGAGATACATGATTACGTATATACACCTGGAAAATCCTAGAGGGACTAGTACCGAACTTGCACACGAAAATCACTCACTACGAAAGCAAAAGACTTGGCAGACGATGCAACATCCCCCCAATGAAAAGCAGGGGTGTCACTAGCACGTTAAGAGACCGTACAATTAGTGTCAGGGGCCCGAGACTGTTCAACTGCCTCCCAGCATACATAAGGGGGATTACCAACAGACCCCTGGCAGTCTTCAAGCTGGCACTGGACAAGCACCTAAAGTCGGTTCCTGATCAGCCGGGCTGTGGCTCGTACGTTGGTTTGCGTGCAGCCAGCAGTAACAGCCTGGTTGATCAGGCTCTGATCCACCAGGAGGCCTGGTCACAGACTGGGCCGCGGGGGCGTTGACCCCTGGAACTCTCTCCAGGTAAACTCCAGGTACATATGAATGCACTTTAGTCCACATTGCACAGATCTCCTTAATCTTTGAAGAAGGCACCTTCTTCCTCTCTCTTCCTCCTCTGAAGCAATTTCCTCAGCTGTGATCTGTTACTGTTGCAGATGAAGCTCTTGCAGCTCATCAGTGGTTAGCTCTTCATTGTGGTCCTCCACCAACTCTTCCACATCCTCACCACTCGCATCCAAACCCATGGAATTCCCCAATGCCACAGTTGATTGCACAACTGGTGTATGGTTGACAGGGTCAGCCTCAAACCCTTCAAAATCCTTCTTTTGGACACAATCTGGCCACAATTTTCTCCAAGCAGAGTTCATTGTCCTGGAAGTCACTCCCTGCCAAGCCTTATTTACTATGCAGTGGAAGATATTGAAGTGATTCTTCCAGAACTCTCTTATGGTCAATTCAGAGTCCTGAGGTTATGTCAAAGCACCTTTGAAACTGCTTTGGTGTACAGTTTTTTGAAGTTTGCAATGATCTGTTGGTCCATGGGCTGGAGGAGAGCAGTGGTGTTAGGAGGGAAGAATTTCACTGTTACAAAACTGAATTCCTTAGACAATTGGTCTTCCAAGTCTGGAGGATGAGCAGGAGCATTGTCCATTAACAGGAGGCCAAACACTTCAGTAAACCATTCCAGAAAAATTTCCCTTGTGACCCATGCCCTACTGTTTGCCTTCCACATTACAGCAGCAGCAGCAGCTGCTGCTGCTGCTGCTGCTGCTTACTTTTCTTTCTCTTGTTCCCATCCTTGTCCCTCTTGCCTATGTTTACTGGCTCTCTCACTCTTTCTTGAACACTCTGGGATTTTCAGAGTGATACACCAGTAAGGGCTTCACTTTGAAATCCCCACTAGCATTGCCACACAACAAGAGAGTTAGCCTCTTTCATAGGCTTGTGTCCTGGGAGTGCCTTTTCCTCCTGCATAATGTAGGTCCTCTTTGGCATTTTCTTCCAAAACAGGCCTGTTTAATCACAATTGAACACTTGGTGGGGTTGGAATTTTTCAGCCTCTACATAACATTTGAATTCCCGCCCAATTTTTTCAGCCGCTTGTTTGTCTGAACTGGCACCCTCGCCGTGCCTTACAACACTGTGTATGCCACTTCGCTTCCTGAATTTTTCAAACCAGCCTTTGCTGGCCTTAAATCTACCTACTTCAGCACTTTTTTCAGGCAGTTTCTTTAAGAGGTCGTCGTGTAACTGTCTTGCTGTTTCATAATTGACTGCACAACACTATCTCCTGCTAACTCTTTCTCTCTGATCCACACCAACAACAATTTCACCACTTCTTCATTTGTTTGGGATCTCTGTTTGGTAATTGCATTCACCTCTTTTGCAACATCAGCTTCCATGATTTCTTTTCTTTTTGCCACAAAGGAGCTGATTGTTGATGGCGACTTCCCATACATCCTGCCGAGTTCAGCAATGCATATATCATTATCATATTTTCTTAGGTAGGAATTCTGTTTTCATTTCTATGGTGTTCCTCACTTTCTTTACTAAAGGATTGGCACTAGGAGCTTTCTTTGTGGCCATGGTGGCTTAATTAGCAGTCACACACAATAAATAAGTGGCAAAAACAATGGATTATTACGAAATGTTTCATATGACCAGGCAGGATATGTTCACTCACTGAGAAACGCTACACTGGCTGAGAACGGTGTGGGAGGCGGCTTTGTCTGCATGATCAGCACTGGAGGTAATCGACAAAAATGATGCCAAAAAATCAGCAAAAAAAAAGTTGGCCAAAACCAAAATTGGCGATAACGGAGGGTCCACTGTATTATTTAAAGGAGTAATATTGCTTAAGTAATATTACTTAACCCTTAAACTGTCCAAACGTAGATCTACGTTTACGCGCATAGCGCTCCGACCTTGATTTTCTCCATTTGAAAGCATGTAAAGAAAACAGATCTATGTTTGGAGTGCTATGCAAGCGAATGTAGATCGACGTTTGGACAGTTTAAGGGTTAAAGGAGTTATTATTATTATAATCATGGGGGAGCGCAAAACCAGTAGGATTATACAACACATTTGGGGGGGAAGATGGAAGGTATTCAGGCTCAATTCAGGGAACTAGAGTGCAGATCCAATTCCCTAGATCTAGAGCCCCTCACCAGCATCAAGGAACCTTCCTTGAAGGGACTTTAAGGAGTTGCTAGTGTTACTGCTATTGTTCCTCAAGCTTCTGTGATGTTGTCTTCCCTTGAAGGAGGGTGGCTTGATACTGGTGAGGGGTTTCTTGATCAAAGGAATTGGAGTTTTCCTCCCTTTTCTCAGATCGAACCTGATTACCTCCTGTTCCCAAAGCACTGCATTACTTCAACTTGTTCAGAGTGTCCCCTCGAATATGATCATTCACTGTATCTCCTGCTGTATGAGCCATGTGGGTTTAGCACTTTTTTTTTATGTATTGCCTCTCTTCACTCCCTTTTCTCTCTCTCTTTTGTGCCACTACTCTCCCTACTTTCTAGTACCACTATTATTTCCACTACTACTACTACTGCTGCCGCTGCTGGTGGTGGTGGTGGTTTGGCTCTCTCACGCTTTTCTGTTATTGTGACTTTGTAAATGGTCCAAGTTGGACTAAAACGTTGTCATAAGCTCCTCTCTCCTATGTGCGGGTTATTTGTGTAATTATATTGTACTGTCCTGCAGGATTCAGGCACAGTGGTGGGCACCAGGATGACAACTGGACTGCTGCTGGGTAACCTGTCAGGGAAGGTGCTGAAGGAAACTCCTCCCATGTTCTCTCCCACCACTATATCTACCACTAACACTCTGGCAACTGTCGTCACCACTACTTCCACTAACTCTTCCGATCTCCAGGCCAGGAAGGTAAAGTGCTCTGAATGACCCATATAGGATGTTTTTTTTTTAAATACAGGAGGGCCCTGTTTATACAGCTCTAAATATGGCGCCGGTCGTCCTTCCCTTACGCAGCTGCTGTACAAAAATGGTGATAACGGCAAAGCGGGTAAAATCACCTTACGTAATGAACAATTGCTCGATTGAAAGCCAGCAAAAATGTGGAACACCGAAAATAGGTGCTGTATACGGAGGGCCGTCCTGTATAATAAGAGGAAGGTAACGTTTCTGCTTTATGTTAGTTGTTGGAGACTGTATGACCCTTGTGACTTTGATTGCAATAATACAGGAGGGCCCCACTTATACAGCAGGTTAGGTTCAAGGCTACTGCTGTATGTTATTAATAGTCTTTGGAGAGTTAAGAGTATCATATCCACATTAAGGGAAGAGTAAGTTACAATACCATGGCTGGAACAATTCACAGTTGACCCAAGGAACTGGTTTATCCTCTCTTTCCTTAGATTAAACCT